TTTGCTTCTCCTAAAAACTTCTGTCATATTCTCTTTAATTAAATGAGGGGGGGGACTGATAAAAGAGGTCATTTGAATGTTTTAGGACACTGGAGAAGTAGATTTTACACTTTAATGAATCCTTCCTGACTTCTTTTATTAGCATCTGCTATGCTAACTCCATGTATTAGTAGTACATGTATATAGGCAAAGGTACCAACCAAATGACATTTAGTATCATCTTTTGCATCCAAAAAGATGGACGTGGAAATTCAGGTAAATAATTAATTGAATAGCATTAAAAAATACTTGCATTGTCTGCATTAATTATTCATCTTGTTAATGTTTTGGGTTTTACCTTCTAGTTTTGCAGAATACATTTATTTATAAGCAGCTAGATAGTGCTCATCTTCATTTAATAAGAGGATTTTAAAAAAGGGGAGGTTTCAGAAATCCTTAGGTGTTTTTAGAGGTTACAGGTCATTCAAAAAATGATTTGCAGGTTAATTTATTCATTCATCCATAATGGGTTTAACTTTKCTACTGTAAATAGATGACGGAAGTCATCTTAGCTATTATATTTATTATTTAGCTATTATATTTATTTATATTTTAGTTATAATTACTTAGCTATTGTTGGGAAGCATTGTGTTAATGTAGAAGGTAAACTTTGATATGGCTGCTGTTTAAGATGTAGGAATCTTTATGTCAAATATTAAGCACGTGCYATTTCTTTTCTCCCTAGCAATGACCTCGATGCTGCATTGAAGTACATTGAGCCTCTGCTTATCTCCAGTGCACAGAATCCTGATCAACCSAACAGGAATATCTCCTATTTGCTACGAAAGTTGTCTGAGGAAGGATTAGAGCCAGCTTTGGAAAAATGTAAGTTAATTGCAATGATATTTAAACACTATGACTAGGTGGAGATGCTATGAAAAAGTTATTGCATGTAAAACCTGCTCAGTCAGCAGAAGGCATGCCAGTGAAGTTTGCAAAAGTGACGTTTTAGCCACCTTTTCCTTCTGTCCTTTTTTCAGTTGGTGCCATGGCAGAGCGATTAGCCAGTCAGTTTGGGGTTTACAGACCTGTCACAGACCTCTTCCTTCAGTATGTGGACTCGGGTAGAGTGGAGGACGCCCGATCACTACTAGAGGTAATGAGAGAAATAACCAAAAGGACCGGAAAAATGGAGCGGTTGCCGAAGGAGGTGTCAGTGCAGGGCAGGACATAGKGCTGGCTGGCAGAGGTGCGTTAGGGCGAGGGGCAGTGACTGCTGAGACTGTTGTGAACCGCAGCTTCGCGCTGTCCTACAGGCAGCAGGAGTGGGCACTGGACTGGGAACACTTTGCTTTCTGAAAACCTGGGAAGTAACCTAAAACAAAAGAAGGAAAATTGGGTGTTTTTTGAAATTGTGTCCAGAGACGATGTTCGTTTATGTATTTTCTATTACAGTTATTGCTTCTTGCAAACCGTCTCTCTTTAATTTCTTACCTAGTTCCTTAAGTGCTCTAAACATAAAACATTCCTTGCACGTGTACAAACCAGAGGTGGGCAGTGTGTACTTTTCACAAGTATTACTTCAGGAGGCCACAAAAACACAGCACACACTATATTGCAGGTTCATTAAGAGCTGAATTTCCTTTCTGTCCATGCACTAAAAAGATGAACACGGCTTTCCGCAGCCGCCATTACCTCAGCCAGCTCCAAGGAAGG